AATATTCAATAAAAAGCAACAGTTGTCATCAGCTGAACACCCACAATTTATGGACACCGGGCACTGCTATTACCTGTCAAGCAAGGGCTGAGTAAACAGGTTGTCTTCAATTGATGATGGAAACGCACCATTGTTAGTGGCCCCTTGAACTTAACATATCTCTAACTGCGAATGTTGGTTGACTGATATTTGTCCACCTTTGATATTGTCCACCTTGGCTGATATTTGTATGCAGAAGGGCTACATCTGCTTTGGATGTGATAATTAATCATCTTATTTGTATGAGCCTTTCCAAAGTTAAAACCATGCTCAAGGCAGCTTATATTAAAAAATTACGCAACTACAAACATAAGAAAAGTAGTCATAAATAATAAACAAAACATTGAAAACTACACAATCAAATTGAACAATTGCCACATAAATAATAAAAAATTAACATCAACAACAGCAATGCCTCCCTCTAAACAATACCCCAGGCCAAAAGTCTGTTCAGCAGCCTCAGCTTTTGTAGCTGGAGTCAGTCAGGGTCCCACCCTCCCAAGGCAGGGAGCAAGTTTTCCAGGACTCACAACCAAGATCAGGCATAGGCAAACTCGGCCCTCCAGATGTTTTGGGACTACAACTCCCATCATTCCTAGCTAACAGGACCAGTGGTCAGGGATGATGGGAGTTGTAGTCCCAAAACATCTGGAGGGCTGAATTTGCCTATGCCTGACCAAGATGGTCTCTGACCTCTTCAGCAGCCTTTTGTATGACCACAGTACACACAGGGACACATTTAATAGGAAAATAGTAGATGGGTTCCATCTCTAATGGGTGTTTGAAAGGTCCCACATCTATGGCTTAAGGCAAGTTTTACTTATTGATTACACTTCTATCTCCCCCTTCTCTAAAGAGCTCAAAGTGTGATACCTGGTTCTCCCACTCCCTCTTTTAGCTTCACAACCAGCTTGTGGTCTAGGCTGAGAGATAGTGAATGGCCCAAGGTAACCCACTGTCCTGCCTCACACCCAACATCCTCCTCCATAATGCCTTCCATGTTCCTGAAACTTAATAGTCACTATACAATTCCCCACCACACCCCAGTCTATTTTGCCTATTGAGTGTTACCTGGCAGGGCCAACCTAGCCAGACGCATTGCCCCTTCCCTCGCCTCATCCCTGCCCCTGCAATGGATATTAAAAGGACATTGGTCAACTATGAAATAAAACCTGTACACAAAGTTAGCTTTCCACAAACTTTAAACCATTAGAATGGAATACATCCAATAATCCGGAAATTAGAGTGATTCAAGACGGACACTTCCCAGAATGGCTCACTCTGAAAAATCCATACTCCCACATTAAAAACATGTCAAGAAATACCCCAAGCTCATAAATTATTGGTCAAATGTTTTCAACAGATCTGCCCAGTAATTCACAGTGACTGCTCTTCCTCAGATCACTCCCCTTTGCACTTTCAAAAGGATGTTATCTGTGATTTATATCATAACGTATTTCTATTGTGGCTGTTATTGATAGAGAGCAGGAGAACCATGGCATGCAATGGAAATCCAGAACAGTTCTGAAAAAAAGAAATCCTGTTTCATGACACATACTATAAACCTCACATTTTGCTGTACTTCCTGTGCATGTCATGGTGACTGCGGGGAATGGTATTGGCACTTCTACCTCCTCTTCCCTCCCCACTCTCAGAATCTGTTCCAAAGCGTTGGGGCAGTGGCGTAGCGTGGGTTGTCAGCACCCGGGGCAAGGCAAGTAATTTGTGCCCCCTAACCCGTGGATTTGCGCCCCCTAACCCATGGATTTGCGCCCCCTAACCCCCAGATGTTGCGCCCGGTGCGGCCGCCCCCCCTGCACCCCCACGCTACGCCACTGCGTTGGGGGGTGGGTTAAGGGGACAGGAGAAGAAGTTCCATTATGTGAGCAGAACTCTGCACATGGTTGGATTCAAGCTTAGATCTCTTTAGAGCTTTGCAGTTAGAATTAAGAGAGTATCTCCAGGCCATGTTTAATTCATGTGTGTACAGATCCGTAACATGCATTTAATGAGAACAAACGGAACATGTCAGGGGACCTATGGTTCCTGGGAGGCTGCCTTCCGGAAAGAACATCACTGCAAGCAGGAGACCAGTCTGCCACCATCCATTGTCCGAAGCAGCAGCCACAGGCAGGTCGCTTTCACAATCTCTGCATGAATGAATGTTTAGCCTCAGTCGTCACTGGCCCTGGGACTGCACAAGAAAATGGAAAGGACATTCTGGCCCCATTCACCAGCCAAAGGAACAAAAGACATCCACTGCTACTCAAGCAAGAACACCAGCAAAGCTTCTTTTATCCCGGCTGAAGATATCCAACTTTTTCAGCCTTTCCTGATTTTGTTGGAATATCTGCTGTAGTGCTGATTCAGATGCTTCTTCCACTAGTGATGTAAACATGTATATTTGCAGAGATGATGAATCCCAAATCCTCACATCTGTACAATATCCATCCATGCAGATTGGTTGATTCCCTGGGCTGGGCTGGTAAAGCATGAGAACACAATGAATAGCACACAGAAATCAGGCTGTTCTAAGAAATAAGAATATACATTTTAAATACAAGAATATACAATTTTTAGTGCAATTTTGGTAGAAGGTATTTATTCTAGATGCATACGTCTAGCAAAAGTGAACTTGAAGATTTATAAGTGACCAATGAGTGAGAATGAATTAAAATAGATAACTATAGATAGTTTGGGACAATGAATTGTTACCCTAAGAACAATGATTCTATCACTGAGTTAAATATCACGTTTTGACAGTTTTAACATTAACACATCCATGGTAGCAAAGTGTAACAAATATGAGCTAAATGAACTGTTTCAAATCATTTGTTAAATAGCCCTTAGCAGTGACTATCAAATCTATCAAAATACTGGTGATGTGTAATGGAAATGATGTCAGTACTTACAGTCTCTTTAAGTAAGTAATGCTATTACAAATGTACAGCTAAATAGGAATCAGCGTCATCTATCTGCTAAATGTAAAAATGATCACAGACCAATTGTGAGATTCTTAATTAATAATTCTTGTTGGATGGTTATCTAGTAACTGAAAATCAAAGCCGAAGTAATTAGGAACATAGGAAACTGCTGTATAACAAGACAGATCCTCGGTCCATTTACCTCAATATTGTCAACACTGACTGGTAGCAGCTCTTCAGGGTTTCAGACAGGGGATATTCCCAGCCTTACCTGGATATGTTGGGGATGAAACTTAGGACCTTGTGCATCTTAAACTAGAAAGAGGGAGCAGCTTGGTTCATCCTCTCTATCCTGCAGCCATAAAGGAGTCTTCCTTCCTAATCTCTGTAAATGTGCCAAACTGCAAGCCCCTTGAATATCACCAAGTTGCTTTCAAATAATGAGAATGAAAAATACTGTTTTCATTTTGCTTTTCAGTTCCATAGGGGCCAACTATTCAGTCATAAGAAGAATGTGGTTGATTTATTACAGACACAGGCTGACAGAACTTGATGGACACACGGCAATCAACATGGTAAGAATGCAGAGGTATTAAGAGAGAGTTCTTTAGCCTTCTTTGGATGTGTCATTCCTACGGATGTGTCATTGGTGTTACTTAAAGAGTTTTTTGGACTCTGGTTCAGACTAAGTGACTCATACTAAACAGTAGAAGTACCACTTACTGGACTGTACCATTTTAGCCTGCAGGATGGGGGAAATACCCGTGTTCTTTCGGATATAAATTTCCTATACAGTGGTACCTTGGGTTAAGAACTTAATTCATTCTGGAGGTCTGTTCTTAACCTGAAACTGTTCTTAACCTGAAGCACCACTTTAGCTAGTGGGGCCTCCCACTGCCGCCGCACAATTTCCATTCTCATCTTCAAGCAATGTTCTTAACCCGAGGTACTATTTCTGGGTTAGCGGAATCTGTAACCTGAAGCATATGTAACCTGAGGTACCACTGTACATGGAAAGCTAGAACATCAGGGGGGGAAATCTTGTGCTACCTGTGGATCCTGCCACTAGAGGCCGTCGCCTCACCTTAGAATCATAAAATTGTAGAGTTGGAAGGGGACCCGAAGAGTCATCTAGTCCAGCCCCCTGCAACCTTGCCTCATGGGTAGGCCGGCCCTGCAGACAAACATAAATTTCCTGTACTGGGAAGGCTGATCGCCGAAGAATTGATGCTTTTGAATTATGGTGCTGGAGGAGACTATCAAACCTATCCATTCTTAAGGAAACCAGCCCTGAGTGCTCACTGGAAGGACAGATCGTGAAGCTGAGACTCCAGTACTTTGGCCACCTCATGAGAAGAGAAGACTCCCTGGAAAAGACCCTGATGTTGGGGAAGATGGAGGGCACAAGGAGAAGGGGACGACAGAGGACGAGATGGTTGGACAGTGTTCTCGAAGCTACAAACATGAGTCTGACCAAACTGCGGGAGGCAGTGGAAGACAGGAGTGCCTGGCGTGCTCTGGTCCATGGGGTCACGAAGAGTCGGACACGACTAAACGACTAAACAACAACAACTGAGAATAAGTATGCACCTGCTGCGCCGTGGGCTTTCCGCTTTTAAGAACAGCAGCGCCTGCGCCTCCTCGCGGAATAGCCACACTGGCTCCGCCTATTTCGAACCCCGCAAACCTTTGCCTAAGCCCCGCCCTACTTTGCATCTTTGGCTCCACCTCTTCCCAATGTCTCGTCCTAAGTCAACAACTCCGCAGCCTCGCCCACTCCCGCTGGCAAGCTCCGCCCTCGAGAGGCGCGCGCGCTCTTCGCAGCTTTTGCTCGCGCCCCGCAGAAGAGGCGGCGGTAGCCACACCCTCGCCGCTTAAGCCCCGCCCCTCCTCGAGCGCCGTGGTCGCGGAGGCCCTGCCCCCTGCCCGCCCTTCGCGCAGGCGGGCCCCCTGCCTCGTCTGCGCAGGCGCAGCGTCATCCTTGAGCGAGGTACCCCCTCAGAGAGGCTGTCCAATCCGCCCCCCTCAGCCGCAGGACGGTGTGTGACAGACCCCTTGGCGAGGGAGCGAGGAGGCGGCGGCGGCGCGCGTCGTTAAGTGTCGCGTCGTGCCCGCGCCTCACTCCCGCCCCCTCCGCCCTCTTTCCCTCACCCGCTCCCCCCCAGGTGTCAGGGGCATCCGCCGCCGCCCCCTGCCATGGTCCCCCGCCCGTCGCCCTGGAAGCAGGAGGAGCTGGGGCGGCGGCCGCCATTGCCTGAGGGGGCTGCGAGGCGGCGATGAGAGGATGGACGCGGACGAGGTGACCATCCGCGAGCAGAACTTCCACAGCCAAGTGCGGGAGTACACGGTGCGTAGCCGCCGGGAACCGAGGGCCCTTTCGGGGCTGCTGGCACCGCCTCCCTCGACGGCCCCCTCGCCCTCCCTCCGAAACCGCCTCCTACGGGTCTAACGTGTCGACCCTATTTGCCCCTTCAGGATCCCGCTTGCTCTGCCCCCCCCCTCACGAAGGCCCGCCTACACCGCCCCCGCGTGCGGGGAGACGGCGCTGCGCTCTCGCTTTGCAAGCGGCGCCGAGCGGGCTCGTGTGTTTTGCACCTGCGTTTTATGCGCCCGGGCAGTTGGTAGACGCTGCTGCTGCTGCTGCTGTTTTTTTAAAAAAAGGACTTCCCTTGTGGTTAAGTTGCACCCTCCTCCCTCGCCTTCCGCAAGTCACGCTTCGCCTTTCAGTTTAAAGAAACTGTTCCACGTTTTTCCGTATTTGTGTGCGTGTTGCCCCTACTGTCGCTGCTTAGGGACTAAAGCCAGGCTTTTAAGCATTATGTAGTACAGTAGTTGCGAAGGCAAACATGTAATGAGACCATTAACCGCGTTGCACTTTTGTGCAGCTTTGGAAGTGTGTGGTCATAGTTTCTGTCTCCAAGGAGGATTGGCCTAAAGAGTTTCTACACCTGCGCAGGGTGTCTATTATTATTATTATTATTATTATTATTATTATTATTATTATTATTATTATTATTTCTATAATTCTTTTGTTCCCACCATAGGCAGAGGAGGTAGAATAATAAATAGCACTTTACCACCCTTTAACAGCATCATTGTTCTTAAGAGTCTGGGATGTCTCTGTAGACAGAGTTCTGGGTTTTGCTTATGTCAGGTACTTGCTGTAAGTTGGTTTTATGCTCTGTGACTTTAAAACAGCATTGTGTTACTGTATTTATTACTTGCTGTATATAACACTGGGATCCCTTTCAGGTGAAGAACAGTTTAGAAATATAATAAATATGTAAACAAACATGTCTGAAATATATTAAACAAACAAGGTAATGTGGGTCAAATGTGTTCATGGGATACTTTTGCACTCTATTGGGCATAAGTTATGTGGGTCAAATGTATTCATGGGACGCTCTTGCAGTGACCTTTCATTTCAGCATATAAAGTGTTGACTGACTGACACTTAGTTCACAAAGATCTTTTCACTTGGAAAAGCTTATGCTCATATGACTGCCCACAGGATGGGTATACAGGGTAGAGAAAAAACCTTTACAGTCAATATAAGTGGTACAGTATGTATCATACATTCCTGCAGGAGAGTGTCTTCCTCATTCTCATATAACCCTCTCCCCAAACACAGCCCATACCAAGTACGGCAGCTGTATTGACTGTACCACACACACTGTAGCTGTACTCTCTAGTTCTGATTCTCAGTACCTGTAAGTAAATTATATACTGCTTGATTGTAATAAAACTTCTCAGTGGTTTCATTAGTTTCATTGGTACTAATTTCTGAGTAAAATCGAAGCATTCAAAGTTCAGTCCATCACCTTTTGCACAAGTGATGTGTTTTTGATGTATCCAGCTATCCACTGCTTTTACCTCCTGTGCTGAATGTGGGAGTACATTCTACAAAGAAGCTCATGCCATTCTGATTTGCATATAAAGTGCTTCCTAGCTCCAGATCATAATCCAAACCTTAACCCAAGCCTGGAAGTATATGGTGTCACCACAGCCCTTCTATAAATACCATCTACTACTTTTGCCTATCATGTACTGAGCAGGTGTGCAGGATTGTTGCATATACAGTGGTACCTCGGGTTACAGACGCTTCAGGTTACAGACTCCGCTAATCTAGAAATAGTACCTCGGGTTAAGAACTTTGCTTCAGGATGAGAACAGAAACTGTGTGGCCGCAGCAGGAGGCCCCATTAGCTAAAGTGGTACCTCAGGTCAAGAAAAGTTTCATGTTAAGAACGGACCTCCAGAACGAATTAAGTTCTTAACCCGAGGTACCACTGTATTTCCATCTTCTAGAACAGATGGGAAGCCTCCGGCCTCGGGTGCAAATGTGACCCTCCAGGCCTCATTATTTGGTCATTGGGATTTTCCACAGGTCATGCTCCTCATCAGCTTTTTACTGACTGGAATGTGTCCTTGAACTGGGATAATGTTTCTTAATTGCCAGAGTAAAGCATAGAGAGATGTATGTGCATAAAGAAACACCCTACTTTTTGTGTGTGGTCATGCCTATTGTTCCACCCAGTTTTGTCTCTAGTCCCACCTAAACTGGCATGCCACTCCCATAAGTTTGCCAATGGGGGAATACAGCCCTCATGCTGAAAAAGATTCCCCACACATTTATAGATGAATCTCTAGAGGTCATGTTGTTTGCAATTGACTACCATCAACTTTTGGAAAAAAAAGTTGTACCTCACTTTGCCCCCAAAGGAGCTCAAAAAGTGCATGGATCCCCCACCCCACTATACTTCATAACAACCCTGTGAAGTAGGTTGGGGTAATGGGTTTAAGGTTACCAAGTGAATTTCATGGCCGAATCTTTCTAATGCTGACACACACTGTTGAACATGTGCCAGTCAAGTACAAGAGTACATCATTTGTCTAGCCTCTCCACATCAGTCCCGTATTAGCCAACTGCCTCGTAAGTGCTATGTACTTTGTGACTCTGTACCCACTAAAGTTTTGCTTTTCCCTACATCATACTAAATACTATATTCAAAGCATTCTTCCCCAACCTGTTGTCCGCCCCCCCCAACTTTGCATAGTTTCATGCTGGGTACATTCAGAGATACATAACTGTCTGTATGGCCTCTTCGGAGTTGTCCACTTTGGTTCTATCACATCTCCCCACCCCCGCAAATACAAAAGTGAATCTGCACGTCTCCCCATGAAGTGATGTGCCAATTTAATACTGAAAAGTTGGATGTGTGAGTAGATTGTACTCCTGCTTATTTATTGCCTGATGCCACCTTAAATTGTTGTGCTGTAAGGCATGCCCTCCATCCCATTATTCAATACCCCCCCCAGTGTAATATTTTACATTTCTCTCTCCTTCGGCTGATTTTAATGTTAGATAAAGACAGTACTTAAAACCACCATGTTGCTTTGTAAATTCCATAGGCAAGTATGGGGTGGCTTGTTGCGTTCCTTCTTTCCTTACACACGTCTTTCACACTTTCTCCAGACTGAGCATGGCATGCATCAGAATGAGGGAATATGTGGTTAACACCTCAGTGTCACAGGACTACGTCATCTTCTCTACACAATACTTTTGGTAATGGATTTTATAGTTGCTCAGCCTGTGTTAAATGCTGTTCTTAACCAGAAATAGAATATATAGTCTTTCTCTAGGAATTTTATGGTATACTTCCCCCAAACTGTGTTTTCAGTTTTGGCCTCTAATTTTTTATTGAAAAAACTGTAACAGGTTAGATAAAATTAGTGTTCTTGGAAGCTTTTTGTAACCTGGCATACTTCCTTAATTGCTTTTTTGCACTACACTATTCCTGGAATCAGGCTGGTTCCTGTGGCCTGGGACACATTGTTCATTTAATGCATGGAGAATCCTGCCTTTCAGAGTAGGAGCAGACCAGATTGTTTAGCTTGTTGGTTTTGATTATAGTGACCCTTCTTGTTTTGCTTGTTTTATTAGATCAAGGTGTGAACAACTGAGAGTCTGTTCTCATTTCTGAGGATTTGTTATACTCAGCTTTGGTCTTTTATAAAACCTTTTTTTCCCTCTTCAGTTGTAAGCTGATATTTTCAGTAAAGTGAATTTTAAGCCCTTCTCAGAAATTGCAGCCCACACATAGCACAGCAACACTTCTGTGTTGTGCAAAAGTTGCATAATAACTAATACCTTAAGTTAGCCTTCTGCTTTTTTCATAATTCTCAGCATCTTCTTACTGTTGGTCCAATTCTCCTGGTGCTATGAACCTAGTTTGCATTTTGAATAGCTACAAATTTAGTTTGTGAAAGTGGACTTGGCAGTCATACCATCCTTTGTTCTTCAGACCGCACAAACGTACAACAAATTTACCAAAGAATAATACAGTAGTCAGTTTCTTGTACCCATGTCATCATGCCATCATTGTTTGGATTCAGCTTCAGATAGCTTTCCTCACCTAGTCCCTTGCTTCATTGAGACTCTGAATAATAGATTAATCAGACTCAAAATACAGATAAACATCAAACAAATTGTAACATTTCATTAGCAATATATGAGAAAATGGACTTTCTGGAAGTGAAATTGCACCATGGGTGCCTTCACTTCCTTTCTATTGAATTATAAAACTCCAGTGTGGAATTTCTTTTTATAACATCCTTTTCAGTCTTTGAAGTGATAGCATTCAGGGTAAATGATGGTTGAGATGCACCAAATATGCCAACTTAGCATTTTTAAAGGCTATATGTTTATAAATAATGCACAATGCATTTTCCAGAAATGAGATGACTTGCAGTTTAGAAAGTTTGTTGACTGATTCATGGAGATCACAACTCAATGAAAAGAAAAGAGTTATAGAATTGTAGAGTGGAAGTGATCCTGAGGGTCATTTAGTCCACCCCCTGCAATGCAGGAATCTCAACTTGCAATCCCCATCCAATTGAAACCATATCAGACCCTGCTTAGCTTTACAAATGTGCCAGCAGCTTTATTGCTTCAGTTTTAACATGTTGATTGATGGCCAGTGATCAAGAGACATAACTTTTCTGGTTGCCTTGCACCAGACTCCTATGACCCTCTCAATGCTGAATGCATATACAGTGGTACCTCGGGTTAAGTACTTAATTCATTCTGGAGGTCTGTTCTTAACCTGAAACTGTTCTTAACCTGAAGCACCACTTTAGCTAATGGGGCCTCCTGCTGCTGCTGTGCTGCCGCTGCGCAATTTCTGTTCTCATCCTGAAGCAAAGTTCTTAACCCGAGGTACTATTTCTGGGTTAGCAGAGTCTGTAACCTAAAGCATATGTAACCTGAAGCGAATGTAACCTGAGGTACCACTGTATACCCCTCCAGAAGCTCCCAGACCATGGCAACAGTTCTAAGGAGAACCC